GAAGATAATAGCTACATACCTGCCTTTTCAACAGGAAGCTGATGCCAAAAGCCAAGTCTCCAATCGGCCACTTCCCCAAAGTTTCTGAATATGTGAATCTAAGCGTCTCTGACAGTGTAGAAATCGTCTCTAACCACGTTGCCGGAGCTTGTATAAGCCTATGAGAAACCCTATCTATACCTATTGGGGCATGACTATTTACATCACCTTCATTTTCGTCATCATCACCAGATGGGGGGCTCGTTTGCAATTTTTTATTTAACGTATAGTACAAAAGTGCGGCTGCCCCTGCTGCTGTCGCCATTGTGGCGGTTGCCATAATTCTCGGATCTCTACGGTCACAAAATAAATACAACCAATTCAAGAAAAGGCAATAGCTGAACCGAAGTTGAATTTGAGATTTTTTTTTCAATTCAATTCACCCTAACAATGACTTGTAGTGATGTGAAGTTGCAGTGCAAGTGTTTAAATTACAAGAGAAAAATTAGACGCTTAAAAGAAACTACTGCACAGCTAGAAATGTTTTTTTGTTCAGTTTCTATCAAGCATCAAAAGGATACCAATCGAAACATTCTTGAATTTATAGCTAATCCATGGATAATACATTGCAGAAGTATGAATACAAAAAACTGAAGTGAGTTAAATGCACTTATCGAAGTTCGGATATTTGAATCTGGAAATAATGAAAAGAAAGCGAAAGTTGATATCTTAAATTCAAAAACCATCATGATTGTCACCAAGCAAGAACTGAAATCCTTGTAACAATGAATTCGGGTCCTTAAATACAATGACAAAAACAGCATAACAATCAAATAATAAGGAAAAAAAACAGCAATGTTCTTAAGATTTTTACATTCATATGACAGCAGTGACTAAAAAAATTGAATCTTTGTCAATAATTCCTAATACATGAACTGAAAAACAAATAAGCACACGCCCTTCAAGCAATTCCCGATAAACCCATTAAACTCTGTTACGAACCTATGATGTTCCCAAATTTCATTCAAATACTTATATACTAAACACCATCTCCGACAAAATCTTCTAATCGCTTCCTGTAATTTACGACATTTCAATACGAGAACCGCCAAACAACAAAAACATCGTACTCAAAAACCCAGAAGCCAAAAGAGGAAATTAACCTGAACATGATTAAAACCTGGAAAAGCAAAACCCTAAGAGGCATTCGTAAAATAAAATAATAAAAGAGACGGCTGCTTTCGAGAAAAAACAATGGAACGAAAAATAGAAATAAACACACACACACACACACACACACAAACACAGAAAATAGATAACCGCAGGGAAAGCAAAACCTAAAAACTCACTGGAAGTTATTAATGAAGGGCCCAAAATTGGCGGATGAGAAAAAAACTTGAGGTGGATGGCGATTATCTTTTATTGCTTCGAACCTAAGACATGCGACGAGACTAAAATTGTGACATAGAAAGAATTTGACGTGCAATCAAACACGAAAAGTCCGCTGAGAGTTAACTCTGCTTTTTGTTTTTCCGTTTTTATACAGCTAAATTGGGACAGATTGATTAAGGTTGGGGAGATTGATATGTCGGAATTTTCTTGAATTGGAAGCCGAGTGGGTTTGTTCAACTCTGATAGCGTAATATCTATTATATATATTAAGAAAAGTCTACTTGCAATCATAAAATATAATAAATATATGGAAAATGCTATAGGTTACAGATTACATCGAAATTTGTAATTATTATATCATCATATATCCGTCGTGGATACTTGATAGTTGATCTCAAAATACCGTATCAGTGATCATACCAGTCTAGCCACCGGTACGCGGTATTACTGATTGGACCGGATTGACAAATATAATATAAATATAAATATACATAAAAATATATAATACTAAATGAAAAAAAAAAATAAAAAAAATGACAATAATAATTAATTTCAACTTCATGAGATAAGAATAAAATATTTTAACTACCAATTTAAATTTTATTTCTTTAAATTAAAAAATTATTTTATTTTATTTTAATTAGCCAGTATTTTAGACCGGTATTTTATGGTTTTTACGGTATGATCCTTGTACAAATCGGTACAACCGTAAATCTGGTATTTTGAGTCTAATTGTACCGTACCAATGGCCGGTATCCGGTATTACCGGTATTATCGGCCGGTACGGTACGGTATTTAAAATATTGGTTGATCTAACCATACAAATCCTATCGGAATGAATATGTAACGGACCGTAGAATCTCCCTAAATATATACTTATTTTAACTATTATTTTTTATTTTTCATTCATAATGTATAATGACTTGATAATAGTTAATATGTATATGTCATGTATATTATACATTAATGTATTCAATAATGTTCACCTACCCACGATGGACACGTGTTAATATGTCCACCGTTTATGTGGCATGCACACATTGGTGATGTTAATATCTTCAAAAAAATACATCACCAATGTATGCATGCCACATAAGCAATGAGCATATTAACATGTGTCCACCGTGAATAGGGGAACATTAGTCGTGTTAGAGCATCTTCAATGCTCAATGTTGTAGTGGTAAATTACCTTCCACATCAACATAATATCACAATTTTTCATTCTCCAATGTACAATGTGATCACAAATGTTGTGATGATGTGGACATAATTAATGTCTACAATGTAGAGAAGAATGTGATTAATCCACATTCTACTCCACACTCTAGATAGCCAATGAAGAGAATAGAGAAAATTATTAATACCATTCTCAAACTATTTATTTATTTAATTAATCTTATTAAATCATATTAAAATTTTATTATTTGGCAAGTAGATAATATTGTAATCAGGCAACATTGTGCATTGGAAACGAATTTTTAATTTAATAGTTGTGAACTCAACATTTGTCCTACATGGTTCACAATCTATTTAATGTTTTGACATTTGTCAAAAAAAATTCTATAACAACATTAGAGCATTGGAGATGCTCTTATGTCCTCATTTAACGTGTGGACTTCTACCAATTGCTTCGTAATTCAATGTGTGTGCTTCAAAGTATTCATTTCATTTAACTTAAATTATAAACATATCTAAAAATTTTATCTTTTTATTAATTTTTTATTTATAAATATATCAAATTAATCATCTATTGGAGAGCTTCATCTGGTATTCATATTACATATGTAAAATTAATAAATAATTTTATTTTTCTTTATTATATGTGTAACACGGCTATTATTTACAACTCTACTAATTTGATTTTATTTATTTTTAATTTTTTCCAAACTTGACTACATGTGACGTGGTTGTCCAAGATAGTCAAAAGATTATTAATTTGTCACATGTGAGAAAGGAGAGTATAGATAATAAAAAAAAAATATATATATTATTAACTTTTAAAATATGATAAAAAAAAAAAGGATTGATAAATAAAATAAATATAAATCAATAATATGTATAGTAAGATTATATTTGGGAAATAGAAAGTCGGACAAAAATAAATGAATGCTTATCGAAAAATAAAAATTAAATATTTCAAATATCAAACATGCTTCCAAATTATTAATATGTATACAAACAAAAGTAAGAATCACAAAATCCGCTAACATCTGAAAAGTGTATGTGTGACAATTAGACTCAATACATTTTAAATTTATATATAGGGGATTAGATATTTGAATCCTTTATTTTTATAGCTAAGTCTACATAAATGTAAGTTTTAATTTACCACAATACATGTAGTTATTAATATGTGAAATACAGGACGATTCAAGTATTAAAATATAATTTGACAGTTCTATATTGTAGTAGGTAAAAGTCCTTGGGCCGGCTCAAGAGATGTATGATTCAGTTTGAAGAACCGGCCCATACCTATCCACGTCCACAACTTGGCCCGGCGATGCAAAACGAATGTATCCAAGAGTGACAAACCAATATTGTGTCTCGCCAAATTAAGTATTCATGAGTCTATTAACAGTTAAGTTGATCTATTTGTAGAATGTGAACAAAAACGGAAAAACGATCGTTCAAACAAAAAAATTGAAATATGAGACATGACATCCAAAGTCGGATTTTTGCATGGCAACACGAATCCTCTAGCCTATAAGATAGCATACGACCATTATTATTTTTTAATTTTTTCATGTATAAATTGAGGTACTTAATACCTCAGAAAATAGAACAAACAATATTCTCAAGTACAACTACTCTCAAAGGTATACACAATTCTTGTTGATTTTATTTCATTTTTTTGTGCCGCTCTTATTAGTCGTTGGCGATCTCTCTTGTTATCTATAATACGACCATTTCGTATACTACAAGTACATAATACACATTTAATCATGTTGGTAACAAAAATAAGTAATACTATTTTTTTTTCTTGTATCAATAATCAATGAATAAATATATATTTTAAAACTAAATTTATATTAGTATAATTTGTTAAGGGAATAATATATTAATTAATGTGTTAATATTTTGGTTAAAATAAAAATCACTGATTAAAAGATATGGAAAATAAACAGTTCAATCCTATTATTTTTTGTACTTAAACCGGCAAGCTTTATTAAAATGACTCGTTTAATATATGTGCCTGGAGGCATCCGGCTATGTATGATGAGAGCCGAGAGGTACTATAGAGTAAATTTAGGTGAGAAACTCATACATCAATTGTGAGCTAAACACTTTTTAGTACTTGCCTAAAGGCCCTCAACCCCCGAGAATATGGGGATTAAGGCCCATGCCCTGCCCACCACCACTACAGATTAGGGTTTCTTACCCAGATCTGATCTTCAACCAAAACTCAACACCAATTGCCCAATTTCTCAAAAATCTTTACCCTTTTTTCCCATTTACTTGAATCGGGTGCTAGCGAAATTGCCAAATTTCATACATTTTTTTAATTACTGTCTTTGAAGTTGCGGGAAGCGGTTAATTAAAGGGCCAATTGCGAGCTGCCAATGCAATTTGTTTCCCTGAAACTGCTAGATTTTTCGGTGGGTTTTTGGAGAATACCGAAAAGATTGAAGCTTTGTTTTGGGGTCATCGATGGCTTGGGCGGGCCCGGAAGATATCTACCTCTCCACTTCTCTTGCTAGTTATCTTGATAGTAAGTTTGTGTGTGTGTGTGTGTGTGTGTATGTGTGTGTTTCTTTAATTCGGTCCCTATCTCTCAATGTGTGTGTATGAGTGTATTTATAGAAAATGAGAAGGTATTGCGTTTTTGTTTTCTGAGTGCTCTTTTGTTGGCATTTCTTATTCATCTTTTTTTTAATGAGCTTTTGGAGTGTATCATTATTGGTTCTTGAGTTCTTGGTGGGTAGTTACATGGGTCTCAGTGAATTTCTTTGAAAGAGAGTGTTTGTTTAGCTTGTAACTAGAACTTACATTTACCTGTGAGTTTGCATGTTTAAGTCTACTCACTGTGTGACATTTATTCTCTGAATCGGAAGTTGAAATATGATCGTTTAATAATCTAAATTAGCTGTAGGGAAATATTATGGGGGCTTGTCATAATTGATTATTTTCTCATAGGTAATTTTGTGCAGCAGTTATCTGGTTTTAGATTTTGATTGGGGGAGTTTAGACGCTATGTTCAATTATGGAATCATGGCATCTTGTTTTTGTTGTGTATCAATTTGACATGTTAAACGGTGAGGGCAGGGAGTCCAACATAGTGTAGGACTATGCTTAAGAAGATTGATAACATGTTTTAAGTACTGTTTAATTGGCCTACTTTTTGGTTGGTTATAATATACTCGGCCGCCATCCTTTTAATTGTTTAAAGATTTCTGCTTTGATGAAACCTGGAGAAACAATCTACTGCATGCCCTTTTTCACAATGAAGTTGTGAATATTGTTAGTGAGGTCACTAAGATGAATCTCAAGTCAGAGATGAAATGGGGACTATCATTTTTAATGTAAGCATATTTGTACGGCTCTTAATACAAATATGCAGCTGTTTCTGAAGTTTGTAAAAAGGAGATGTTATCTATTGTTATAGCTATTGGTACGGTCCAAATTTGGAAGGTGATGTTCCAGATATGAAGAAATTCAGTAATAAACTCAATACACATCCTTTTCTATCACAATTTTTCTTTCAGTGCTGTTCCTGCAATAATTATGAGATGTGTAGAGAGCTTTAGTGGTTGAAATTCCATAACTTGCATGATTGTCTATGGAAAATAGAAAATTCTTCCATCTGAGATAGTTACTCAAGGTAGAGAAAATGATCATCAATTTGATTCGACTAATCAATCTGTTGCTAATTTCAAAAAGTTTTAGCATTCTTTTACTATTTTGTTTCCTTTGCTATCCCCATAGACCTAGTTTTTATGTACTCAATCACGTCTATGCATATGGGTGGAACTGGTTCAACACCGATGTTTGTAAAAGGCTTAAATAGACATGAGCACTTGTGGTTCCAGTTCAATACTGAGCGTTTATGCTCAAATGTTTCTGTTTTTTACTTCTGTTGCAAGGTATCTTGTAGTTCCTTTACTTTGTAGCACGAAGACTTGGTTGTGATAGTGTATAGTTTTTTTT